TAATCAGCGTTACTTCCTGTGGAGGGTGCTCCACGTCGGTCGATTCTGCTCTACTCAGCACAAAGTGGAAGGCAGTCTCTCTCTGGAACCACGCTTCTTCGGAACGCTGAATGCGATCGCATCTCGAGGGTCCCCCTCCCCCTCCAATCCACCTCCAGGCCTAGCTGTTTCAGCATTCACAAAGATGGTTGGTTCACTGTTCTGCAAACGTGCTAGAGATTTTTACACGTAATCACAAAATTAAATTTGTGAACTTTTCCATAGGTGTTTCCTACAGTCGAAAGGTGACGTCATCAGACCACTTTAACCAACACCCGTCAAGTGACAGGGGGTTCCTCGTCCATATTTAAACATTTTGGCATGATGCAAGTATTTTGACCAATTTTATGTTTCGCTGTTAATGTCGATATTACTTTTGAGTGCTGGCATCGTGTAGAAATTGGCTGTGTTCAAGACGTTTCAGAGGAACATTCTCCCTCCGTGATTAGGGCTTCTTACTTCAGTCCTGATGATAAAGGCAGTATGTCCCTCCGCATCGTTTGAAGCAACCCGTTTCAACGCGGTGCCAGCGCTCCAAACTAGGAATTTAATGCTTATCACCGAAAAAGGGCCGTTGAAACTCAACGGGGAAAGATTTATTTCATATCCTCATCTTCTTTGGATCTTCGAATCGTATAGGATGAAAGCAGCAGTTCGAAAATAGACCATTATGCCAACTAACATCGTTACTGCAGCCATGATTAGTAATTCATAACACAGACATACACACAGTCATAAATTATCTTCAGCCCTGAAGATGTAGGCAGTATGCTCCCACGAAACGTTGGTATCTGCTTTCAAGCCGAGCTTTCACCCCAAATCTCAGATACAGCCTCATTCTGCCTAGTCTTTGGGTACAATTTACACAGAGTTCATAAAAGGAGGCCTGGGTGTCTCATTCCCGAAACCGCTCGACGGATTACGGCACAGAACCAATTGAATTTTGATGCGTTCTGCCCATTAAAACCCAAATTTTATAGGAAGGTTAAATTTGATTCTTTTAACGGGTCATAGCACAAAAGACTAGTTTGTACAGTGTGACGTTTTTAGATGATTTGGCTTTGCAACATTTTGTCGATAACTCTCTTCTGGATTGTGACGCCGTGAAGATGGATACGATAGGTTCCTCCGAAACGTTGGTAACCACACAGCGTCACGACCCAGAAGAAAATTATCGAAGCCTTCAGAGTCCTGTGAACCTCAGATCTCAAACAGATTTCTGTCTGCAGTGAATTCAATACAGTGCTAACGAGGCAATCAAAATGGCGGAGAGAATAATGCGTTTAAAAATGTTTTCCGTTGAAGATGGCTGTCTTGTGGGTTGTCTGTCCGTATAGTCTGGTAGAAGTCTACCGACGTTTCAGAGGTCCTTGCTGCCTCCGTCATAAGGGCGATGAGTCCTCGGTCATATCCGGACTCACCGCCTTGGAAACCTCAAATCCGTTGCGTTTTGTGTTTCTTTGAGGCGACGAGCAGTGACAAAGTCCACGTAACTGTCGAAATCGGCGCTCACTTCTCCGTCTTTTGATTGATCGTCTCATTGATTTCTTGGCAGTCGCACCGCTAAGTTTAAACCACCGCCGTGACGCGTCGTCGTACCAGACTTCAGTTCCACCCCAGACATCGACCCCTCGAGGACCCGTCTCTTCGGCTTCTCAGGTGAGTCCCTGAGAAGTCCAGGACCTCCTCGCTAACCCATGTAGAAGAACTGCTATCAGTTTCAGGTTAGTTGTTCATTTATTTACGAAAACTTCTCCGAGTCTGTATTTATTAAATCTTCAAATCCAAGTGGTAACTAATGTACCACCTTGTTTAACGCCCAGTGTCTGAATTTTTGTATTTATGTATTTCTAGGAAGAATCGAAGTTGAAAGAAGGAATTAGGCATAATTGACCAATCGTGACTAATTCTTTAATCGTGAAAGAAAATTTCCTATTTACGTTATTGATTGCATACGAAAGTCAACTATTTCCAGATTATTTCACACATTCTCTTTATTCGGTTCGTATAATCTTCTTGCGATAACTTAATTTATAATTATAAAGTTATCTTATGCTATTACACGACAAATCCTACGTAGCATTTTGAAATAATTAAAACTCTGTGAGCACGGAAGACGATGCCACATAACGTGATTTGTAGCACTAAACGCTGAATTGCAAATCTACTGCACTGGCAAATGTCTTTTCCAGTTTTCTTAAGTCCCTCCAGGCAAATCCTGGGAAAACACCTTAAAATAGGCCACGACGCTTCATTCCATAAGGTTTCCGAGCTATGATTTACAATCATTTTAATATTTCGATGTGCGTCACCAGAGCGGACTTGAGAAACATTGAACAATCCGAAAATCAATCCTCCCGGCTTTGCGTGGTCTTCTGGATAAAAAAAGAGATAGATTTTGGTGAATGGTGGAAAGGTAATACAAAAAATCGCCGTATTCAGATCGTTGTTGTGAGCATGTATAAAGCTGCTTATTCCAGGCTCTCTGAAGGTATGTTAATAAGGCACTTAGATGCGCTCGGAAACTGAAGCGATGTGTAATTGCCCATTGTCAAGACATAAACGCTGTCGCATCGACCGATGTTTCGCCGTAATCTTCCACTGCGCGTTGAGGGAGTGCAAGGAACACATAGAAGCCGAAGGCACACCTGAGGCTAGTTTACAAAAAGTCTGATCCTCTGGCTTGTGACGCTCTGTAGATTCGCGGGTAGGTACCAACGTCTCGGAGAAACATGTTGTCTCCATCTTCAGGGCTGATTTATTATTTGATTAAGGAGCCGTTTCAACGACAGAGGTTGTATAACGTCGATCGAGTTTTAAACGAATCATAAATTGGATTGGGAAGGAGACGACAATGTCTTATTTCAAGGAAATTCCCCAGTATTTGTCTGGAATCACTGAAGAAGACTACAAACCACGTCAAGGTTCGAACCAGGTGCGTTCAGATATAAAGAGTGCTAACCACTGTACCTTGACGTTCGGTTTAATTCTGACTGTTTTGTGTAGCTGTTACAGTTTCTGGGGGCATCTTTCGAATGTACCTGTCTTTTGGATTAGAATTGTCGTGATACTTCTGACTTCCTCAAAGTGAATTTTGAATAACTTAAAATTCCTCACCACTGATTCCTACTACGCCCTGTCTCACGTTGTGTTTAATAATCACGTTTTGGTGAGTCTGAAGTATTCCGATGTACACTGCGTGAGGATGACTGTAAATCGTGAAATGTTAAGGTGCTGGTGGTGTAGGCAGTGATGCAGAGTCCTGGCGCGACTGCCGGTTCCTGGCGTCTGCTTTCGCTGTTCCTGCTAGCGGCGATCTGCTCCTCGGATTCTGCAGAGTGAGTCCAACGACCGTGCATCGATAACGGATTAGGGCAAACGAATAGGAAAACGCGTCCCTGGGGCTTAATCACGTACCGAGCGATGAGGGCGTGGAGGTGTAACTCCTCCCCCCCCCCCAAGGGGTAAAAGGCTTTTGGACGAGAGGTTGCGTGGATCCCAAAGCCGGTCTGGACGTGATGACGAAGAGAAAATATCTGCCCTTGTCGGGAATCAAACCTCGACAGTCCATCCCGTAGCCTAGTCAGTACATGGAACGAGGCTTTCAGAAATTTGAGTTCAAATTTGGCGTAGACATCGCGCAGCAACCGTTTTTCGACACATTATATTATATTTGATATCCGTGTGTCCAACTTTGGAAGCATTTCAGTGACCCTTCTGTACTAGTATACGAGGAGAATTTTAAAAAATGAGAGAAATATTTAAGCATTTCCGTTGTATGATTGGCAACACTGCTGAGGCATGTTTTTTTCAATGATTCTGAAATTCACACCTTTAAATAGGTCTACATAGTCAATATGTTTTATTTATTTATTCATTCATTTACGTTTTCCTTGTGATTCTCACTGTAAACAGCAATTATATTCTTAAACTGCATTAACCGGTTGATCCTTAGTAACATAGAAGAGTAGTGTTCTCTTAGCGGTACGGGCTGAATTCTTAACTGCCATCTAGTTAAGCTTGGGCTTCAAAGGGTTAATCATCGCATTCTTATTGGCGCAGGATCGCAAGCCTAACATTCAACGACATCCTGCCTGAGGATCCTAAGCTTTACGACAAAATGCGGCCTCCTAAAAAGGACGGAAGTCCAACTGTAGTACACTTCCACGTCACAGTCATGGGCCTCGACTCCATTGACGAAAATGCAATGGTAAGTAAACACTTAATAGCAGTTCTCAAGTAAAATTATCACGAGTTATTTCACTTGTGATAATGCTCACTCTAGGAAAGGGTGAGTGTCGGTGATTTTATGTTCTGTTGTCTGGTGTAGGTAAGGGTCTCCTGCTTCGTATTCGGGAGGACTCGTGCTTTTCCGATAGCCTCCCTTGTTCAAACGTCAGTTCTGATCGTCTTGTGGTGAACCTAATTTAAAGTAGCGTCGAGTCTACGCGACGTCAGAGCTTCTAATCTTCTAATCTCATTCTACGTAGAAGAGGTCTCTCAATGTTGTTGTCGTCTTTGTATTTGTTTCAGACTTACGCTGCCGACATTTTCTTTGCGCAGACGTGGAAGGATGACCGACTGAGGCTTCCAGAGAATATGACTGCAGAATACCGGTAAATTTTTTCGTACTTAGGCGTTTATTCTGACTGGGAAATTATGATAAATATAATATAATTACTGTAATATAACCTAATATAATTGTTTCACAACCGTGGCTAAGAAACTTACCTAGTTAAAGAATAAGGTAGGTAACAGAGTCCTAAGTAGACGAAGTTTTCTGCTCCACAGAAATATTTTAACTCGATCTCAGGTGTTGCATTCTGTGGCTTTAGAACAAATGAAACGTGTCTTTATTGTTGCAGGTTGCTTGAAGTTGATTGGCTGAAGAACATGTGGAGACCGGACTCGTTCTTCAAGAATGCGAAGTCCGTGACTTTCCAAACAATGACCATTCCCAATCACTACATGTGGCTGTACAAGGACAAGACAATCTTGTACATGGTTAAGTGAGTGAAGAGGACATTAAACATTCTTGGTTGGATTTCATGTTCTCATGGTTGTAGCTCCTTCAGTGTAGTCTGGTAGAAGTTTCTACGAGGATTTTCTACCCAGAAGATTTCAATGTTGGTGTTCAGGTTTGGTGTAACGCCGTGTGGACTTGTAAGTAGATACCAAGGTTCCGGAGGAATATACTGCCCCATCTTCAGCCCTGAAGCTGGAGGCAGTACGTTACTCAGAAATATTGGAACCGCACGTCCACACGGCGTTAACAACTGAGAAGACGAACATTTACGTAGAAGTTATTATCATCACGATTATAATTGTTATTAAACAAATTATTATCAGTGCTAGTAATGTTGAATTAATATATTTTGTGGTTTATTTAAAGACGTTTTCAGTATGTCAGGCTTGTGTCAGATGGTAGTACTCGTGTAATTAATAAATTATGAATTGGGAAAGAAGTGGAAGGAAGTGATCATGACCTAATATCTTGAAATTTGCGTAGGGTAACTGAGGAAAATCACGAAAGTCTTAGTCAGTATAGCTGTCTTCGCTCAGATATTTGAACTCGAGAAAGTCAGTTAAGCAAGGACTAAAGAGCGAGTAAGATATAACATTAATACATGAGGCGTGAAATTTATGCAGACAATACATTGCAAAATAAGTTTCGAAGAATGAGGATAGTAGAGGAATGTGATACTAATAAAATGTGTCTGATTATAAAGAATCTTTTCAATCTCTTTCAACAGGCTGACGCTGACCTTGTCCTGTGCCATGAACTTTATGATATACCCTCACGACACCCAGGAGTGCAAACTACAGATGGAGAGTCGTGAGTAAAATGGCAGACAAAAGTGCACAGAGTCTCAAAATACCGCAGAGGATCGGGGTGGTTCTGCGTGCGACTTGCATTCTTCGACATAGGGATGGCTTACATGACAGTCTTAATGGTGTCCTTTATTACCACCACAGATTGTAGGAATACTGCTTCGAAGAAATCCACTATCATTTGTTTTTCAATATTTCCTTGTTTCCTGTATTTTTCATGGCCTTTACGAAAGCAATGACTACTGAATGCCTTTTGAAAATGAGCGCCCACTGTTCTGTGGTGTTCGAAGACATTTTTAGAGTGACAGTGATTGAGGTTAGCCCACCTGAGTAGGAGCTCCTAGTCACTTTTTAACCTGAGGACGGAAGCAGATCCAGCTTCCGAAACGTGGTGCTGTTTTTTTTTTTAAAAAACATACTTTATAGAATTTCGTGATCCCGATTGCAACACACCATCGTTAGCATCCATTACATTTGGCATTTTCCTGTATCATTTTCGGTTTTTATTTGATTTATATTTGAAATAAAAGTACCTGTACAATGTTTTTTCTGTTTTTACTGCAGTGTCTCACACGACGGATGACATGGTTTTCCAGTGGGATCCAGACGTTCCTCTCGTAGTAGACGAGAACATAGAATTGCCTCAATTGCAGCTTGTAAGGAATAAGACGGATGATTGTTCTCAGGTTTACTCTACAGGTGAGTTGACTTTAAAGCGAACGGTTAAATGAAGCAGCGCATTGCCCTTTGAACTGATGTCCCCAGAAGCTGATTCATAGACGAAGCCTCTGACAATTTGCATAGAATGTAAGATTTGAGGTTCTGGCGTCCCTGAACATGATGTTCTTCCGGTCTGTGACGCCTTGCAGACTCGCGGGTAGGTGCCAAGGTTTCGAAGAGAAATGTCGCCTCCAACCTCAGCTCCATGTTGTCTTCTCTCGGCTAGGAGCATTTAGAATTCAAAATTTGCGTAAAACGCATGCAGAAATTGTGTATTTCAATATGGACGACATCTTTCTGATCTCGTTATCATTGCTGCGTGATATTTGTACTGATAATCTTCGTCAAATAAGGTGAATGTAGCGTTTGAATCTTGGTTTAAGTTCTTCAGCAAGAAACAACTGCACAATTATGGCGTCGTGTTTCGCTGATTCTCAGGAAACTTCACTTGCTTGGAAGTCGTATTCGTGCTGAAGCGTCGACTTGGATACTACCTATTCCACACTTACATCCCAACCTGCCTCATCGTCATCATGTCGGTAAGCAACATGGCTGTCGTTCTGGCGTGCATTATTAACAATGAGATGCTACCACCTATCGCGTATCGCCTGTCACTTGTTTCTAGTTTGTTCATTGTCAGTCCTGCCTAGAAGTAGTTAGCTGCTGATTAATTAATTATTCATTAATCATGAGTTGGCGATATTGTTCTTCTGGTTTTGTGGTGGGCTCGTAGGAATCTACCTGAAACACAGAACAGTAACATCGTCCTCACTTTTCCTCGAGAATCTCAGATCTCGCAAGTGTGACGAGTTTTCTGATTCGCTTCAGTGGGTGTCGTTTTGGATCAAACCCGAAGCTGCCCCGGCCCGTGTCACCCTGGGGGTCACGTCGCTCCTCACCTTGTCGACCCAGCACGCCAAGTCTCAAGCTTCCCTGCCTCCGGTGTCTTACCTGAAGGCTGTTGACGCATTCATGTCGACTTGCACAGTGTAAGTACGACTCAGAGCACACACTCGCGGTCTCACTTCCAAATATCAGAGCTCGTTCTTCTCTGTGAAGATTTGTAATTTGATATCCATCATGATCATCCAGATCAGGGATTTCCAACATTTTTTTTTTTTTTGGGGGGGGGGGAACTAGGAGGAGCCTATAATTAAAAGCGGGCACTATAAAAATTTATCGGAAAAAGATCCAAATTGAAATAAGTAGATCGCTGTCGTGTTCTCGCTTCTGCCATTATTTTCCAGGCAGGTTATTACTGTTACAAACTCATTACTTCTTTCTAGAATGGTTTTTCAACCTCACGGCAAAAATTAAATTATTTCCTTGTTGGTTTTTCTTCATTTCATTTTGTTTCAGATTTGTGTTCATGGCCCTGATGGAATATTGTCTCGTCAACATCGTTCTTGGAGATTCTGATGGTCCAAAGAGCGCACCAGAGCCTCCTAAGTCAGACAGAGTTTTTGACTTAGCTGCTAGGGTAAGACCTGATGTTTTATGGTTAATGGTTAATTATAAAAGTGACGTTCTGTCCGCTCTTGATTACTAAACTTTCAAATTCGTACGTATGTAGTTTGTTTTGAGTGCATTATTACTGTCCACCGTCAGTTTCTTCGGCCTGTCACAGCTTCACCGGAGCCCCATTGTACCCAAGGTTCCCCGTTGGGTGCCTTCTCAGTTTCCGTCTACGTAATCCTCGAACGAGCACATGTGGACGATGGATCACAATTTGGATCCGTGTCGTAAAGAAATGCGGACTGAGACAGAGATTATGGCATAAATTCAGACGGGAAAATTAATGGAGCAGTTAATATAAATGTACAAAATATTTATAAATTCTGTCAAATTATGAAATCAAATATCTGGAACAGAGTGGTACAAAGCAATACGAAACCAATTTGTTAAGCTTTATTTTTTAACATGTCGATGTTGTCCTTCTAGGCAGCAAAACCACGTAGACTTGTGGGTAATTACCTACGTTTATTAGAAACAATTTCCGATCTGAAGGTGAAGACAGCATGTTCTACGCGCAGTTCACACTGCGTCGTAACTTAGAATAATTGCATCGTCATCTTCCTCGTCGTGAGAATTTGAGTCACTGGTCAGATTTTTATGAAACTACGAAGTTGATTAGTAGGATTTTAGTTATTCAAGGCCTGTGAGTCCCAAGATGGCTGTCTTCTGGGTTGTAGCGCCGTGTAGTCTGGTATAAGTTTACTGACGTTTCAGAGGTCCTTGCTGCCTCCATCATCACCTCTGAAAAATCGGCGAACTTCGACCAGGCATCACGACGCTACAACCCAGAAGGCAGCCATCTTGTCAACTTTGATGCTGCGTTGTGATATTACGTGCCAGTTGCCTGTACTTGAGTATTTCTTGCCGTCAGGAGAACGGCCGCCTGCTGACAGGACAGCCCCCTGCACAAAGACAGCCATCTGCAGCCCAGAGGAACATGGCCAGAGCAATAAATGTCGACAGATTTTCTCGAGTGTTTTTCCCACTTCTGTTCGCGATTCTAAACGCAGTCTACTGGGCGATTTTCGCACAATTTTTGTAAAAGGTCTGTCCTGCGATGAACGTGCAAGGAAAACACGTTCAGTCGTTGTCGTCACATTTGAAGGAGAAGAAGAAAATAAATTGCTAAACATGGCTGTCTCCTCTGTGACGTCACGCCTTGAGCTGTGGTGGAACTCGCTCAGTTTCTACCGCTCTAAAAGGCGCAACATTGCAGACGACAGTCATCTTAACATTTGCGGTCTTGTAAGCCTGAGATCTTATTAAATATACTGCCCCCCCCCAATTAGACGAGTGTGTTATGCGATTAGGAAGTTTTGCAAATGACTCTGATGCCATCATCATCTTCGAAGCAGAAAGTAGCATGTGTGGATGGTAAGCAGTTTCACATTATATGGAATGTTCTTGTAAATTCTTATTTATAACTCTTTAAGCCGTAGGCTTGTACATTATTTGTATTACGTGTTTGCTGTTAGGTACAAGTATTTACCACAGTGTAAACAGTGATTTTCAGTTCTCTTGTCCTATTAATTGGCTTCGATTAAATTTTGAGGACGTTCATTATAAAAATAAAGGCAATGAATTAAAAAGACTCCCACAAAACTTGTCTTTGGCTGGTTATTGCAGTGACATCCACCCCGTGTCATAGATGATTCCCCCTCCCCCCAAATATCCTGCCTCCAATGACAATAGCATATAGCATATTCATGGGTTATTAAATTTTAATATTTTTTAATGTCGAATTCTGCACGTAGGAATTAGGCTAGTCCAGCGATGTTTATTATTTGCCTAATATTTTAACACAAACGCCACTTAATGTGGCCTGGACTGTAATGTGATTTTTACGTCACACGCTCCCTGTGTTAGTGTAGAAATTCTGTTAAATTTGTGCAAATAGTTCAAGATGGCCGTGTTATATTATGAGCTTCAATGCAGCACAGAATCTTCTAACCTTAGCCAAGTACATTGAATCCGACGCTTATACGTCGTATATCTGCGTGCAATAAGAGATGTTTAGACGTCGCCAAAAGTCTTATCTGTCGACTTGGACTTGCTTTATTCTCTACTGAACGACAGGATGCAAAATGGCGCCATTTATTACGCAACTCACTAGCCACAGTGGTACAGTCCGTGGAAAATATTTCACACGGACAGTATTCAAACAAGAGGAACCCCTCAGAACATATTTTCACCATACTTAGGTAAGTTTCTTACGTTTTATGCAAATTATAAACGAAAATCAAACCAGTTCATAATAGTAGTTAAACTGATACAGCTTAGTGGTGTTTAAATGGGACCGCAAGGGGTTAATAAACTAAACCATTTCAAATGTCAACATTGGCACTTGGTGAATTAGCGAATGTAGTGTTCAAAATGACCACCGTTATCTTTCAAGCGCAATTAGCAGCGGCGGCGAGCAACTAATTGACGAGGTTAGCATTCCATGTTATAATGTGTATATATATTTTTGGGACACCCTGTATGTGGAGAAAATTTATAAGAGTTTTTAATATTTTGAATTTAATATTTGACATTTCTGGACTGGGGGGGGGGTTAAATTATAGTGGAGAAAGCAATTCGAGGTGTGAAATATAATTTTATAGATTTTAACTGAAACCGCGGACAATGATCTATGACAAATCTAAGATCCAGCGAATGGGATTGCATTGCAATGCATCGGAGCACAGAAACGGTGAAGTGAACGGATGAATGCAGTGATTTGTTAAAAGGGCCAAGGCTCACAGTAGAGATTCCGTAACGAGTTCCTTCAGAGAAGCATTAGGGAAAATTGGGATAGAAAATCTTAAAATCCTAAGACAAGTCCGTTTCAGAAGTATTTTAAAAGATACCGCTGATACAGAGCAAAGCCTGACGCTGAAAAATTAAGAGATGAAACAGCCGAAGACAATCTCAGCCACAGAGAACAAAAGCGATGTCAGATAGAACAGCCGAAGACAACCTCAACCACAGAGAACAAAAGCGATGTCAGATAAAAACGACCGTTGCCTGTAACAATGTGGTTATTTGAATACCATCAAGCAAATGGCGTCCTATCCATCCAACTGATTGCTATGTCAGAGCAAGGTATCCAGTTCTGAACCTTTCAGACTTGGAGACAGTGAATGGAAGGTCGAAACAAGACTGTGGCTTTCCACGTGTAATTACTCTGCAAGGCACATCCAGCGACCCACGCCTACACAGGAACAAAACATCGCAAAGTACTACGCTCAAAGGCGTGCAAGAAAGGTGACCCATTACCCTGAATACGGGGCCGCCATTACTTTGGCGTTAATTCGAGGGTGTGTGTGTTTTAAACACAGACGTCCTTATTTGTCTGATTACTTGAGGTTTACTGAAAGACGCTGTCAGTAATTTAGACCGCATCGAGTCGAAGGTGTGGAAGGGATATGGAAGGAAGTCTTCGTGGCCTACTTTTACGGCACTGAAGAAAACCACGAGAAACTCCAGTCAGTACAGGCGGTATCGGGCCCGAAATTTGAATCCGGCACCTGGCAAGGACGCATGATCCACGCGCGTACACGCACGAAGCAGCTGCACATTTGTGGGTTTCGTTGAATGAAATGAGGGCCATGCAGGCTGAGTGTTGGATCGCAGCTTCCTGTCGTCCGGGAGAGAACAGAATGTGTTGCGCAAAGTCTGCGAGGGTGGATGGTCGGAATAAAGTGACAATTAAACGCATCCTGGCGGAACAGGGGCAGGAAACTCGTCGTTGCTACCCGTGGCTTTGTTTGGTGCCGTTAGAGCAGCCCGGCTCATGCGAGGGGCTGCCCGACGTGGCAAGAACGAAGCCCGCAACTTCTTTTCCGACGTCGTCTCAGACTTGGGTTTACCAAGACGCACTTGAAACGACTTTCAGACGATAATATAACAGTCTGAAGTATCGAACATTCTTGTTAGAAAAGTGAACGGCAAAAATCAGTGCGTACATTCGGACACTTTCTGCAAGAATTTTGGTACACAGCAGATTCCGACGAATTTGTATGGATTTAAATGGTTCAGTGTCGGGGGTCAGATGCCACCGATTATACTTCTATAGAGATAGCCTACATATAAGAAAATCAATGATTTTACGGATTGGATTAAGCTGGCTCAGTCGAGTTTCTGTTCTGGCAGTGATTAGGCATAGTATTATCTATTTTTAAGGAAGCTGGGAAATGATTAGATCCTCAGGGCGGTGAAGAAGTTGTTCTGGGTTATGACGCCGTGCAAACTCGTACGTAGATACCGACGTTTCGGAGAAACATACTGCCCCGATCTTCAGCCCCGAAGACGAGAAATGCTCTTATTTGAAATGACCAGTTAATTTACAGAGTTTCGTAGGAATTCTTCTAATTTTGGGAAGCCATTAGTACTTGGTTATAACTGTTGGGGGATGACGGGAAACATTTGTTACATGTTTTATCAAACATCAAATAGAATAGAACAGTGGTATTCAACCTGGGGTACGCGAAGACATCTTAGGGGGTACGTGAAATTTAAAAATATATATATATATATATTATTTTATGATAAACACTGAATAATCAGTAATGTAATTTATTTAATTTATTTTAGATGTAGATTATTTACTATGTATAACTTGAATTATACACCAACAACTTTAGGGGTACAAAGTTGAAGAGAAATTATATCTGGGGGTACGCGAACAAAAAAGGTTGAATACCACTGGAATTGAAAAATGATTTAAAATGGATTATATTTTTCATAACACTGTAAATGTTAAATAAAACCATTTATTTGTTAATCGAGACTTAATCCGCCACACGTCCCGTTCTGTGAAGAATTTGATTTCAGATAATATTGATGAACCCTTCCCGTGTCTCAAACGCTTTCGAACGGGAGTCCCTTCCGTGTGCATTTTTGGTGTGGCATAAATTGTGGGAAACCTGTCTCTCTCTTGGTATCCGAAGTTAACCATTTTCCTGTTTTTAGAGGTTTAGTTAATAACGAGTATTTTTTTTTCTCAAAGACGAAAAGCGAAAGACTATTTTTGAATGAATAATCTCGTCGTCAGAGAGAATAGTGTACCGACAATACCGACGCCAGAACATCATCTTTGGAACGGTTGGATGGATTTGTGAACAAATATAGAACATAAACACTCCCTGTCATAAAACAGGAAAGTGTACAAGTGGTCTGTAATTTTGATGAAGATGCTACAGAATACTGACCTACCTGATGACTGCAATGAAGATCCGGAGGTAATTGCACCATCTGAGGCGACGGGGGGTTCCCCCCTCCAGGGCAATGATGTGGAAAGGCGTATCAACTAATTAAGTGATGACAGTGACAGGGAGGGGGAGGCAGGAGCGGGGATTGATGAACATGAGGTCTACCACACTGCGCATAACAAAACATAACATGGTTCCTTCCACTAGACCAACCAGAAGATTTTCAACTGTCAGCTAGAAGACAGAAATACGTGAGAATAAGGTAATGTTCCTCAGTCAACATGTAGGACGACGACACTGGACCATGTGGCATGCGTATGAACGCTGACAATGTTTCTCAGCATGAAATAAATTCGCATTGAATATTAAAACTGTAATTATTTTCGTAGGAAACAGTCAAATATGTTACAGTTGCAGAAGATGGACGGTTCGCTGTTATTCGTATTCAGCATTTAACGTGAAACGTGTGTTGGCATAAGTGAAAGGACTCAAGGGAAGTTTTCAGATGCTGCGTTGACTTCACGTGGAAGAAACCTTCTTCATGGTGGAAGTGAAACGTTGGTCACCGCCTGAAAAATTGCGAAAAGTCGTCACCTAGAAACCAACAATTCATAACGAAGAGTACATGTGTTTATGATAAAAATTTGTCGACATTTAATACGCTTGTGTAGTGAATAGCCGAGAAGCGATTGGAAAAATGTCATAGAATAACAAATTCACGGAAATCGTTTCGTAATTAACTTTTGGTATATGATTTTTAATATAAGAATATCAAATCTGCATCCATAGTCAACAAATCAGAGATTCAGCAAAGTTTTGCCTCAGTACGTAATGGCATGTGGTCTAATAACTAATTAACTAATTCAGTGACGCAAAATCCTTCTTGAGAAACCAACAGTACGCATAGATACTTCGAAATTCCCCGTCGTTTACGAAATGCGAAGGTTTATCATAATAATCCGCCTAAATTCCCTATCCTTAACCGCAAGAATCCATTCTAAAACCTCCAACCCTTTTCCAAGACGCATTTCAATATAATTCTCCCATCTACCACTAATCTTCCTAGTGTTCTCTTCTTTCCAGGCTTACCAACTAAAATTTTGTCGCGTGCCTCATATCCCTCGTGCCCTCTACATGTCCCTCCCATCGCATCCTCCCTTTTATCATCGTAATAATGCTGGATAAAGACTAGAAATTATGTAGCTACTCGTTTCGCAGTTTCATCTAACTTCCCGCCTCTTTGTCGCTCGTGTTAGGTCCAAATATTCTTCAGAGCACCCTGATCTCAAACGGAGTCAGTCTGTGTTCCTTCCGTAATGAGAGACGCCAAGTTTTATACCCACACCAAAAAACTCAAAGACTGAAGATTTAATTCAGTCCGACAGTATGCAAATGTGCTTTAGTTTCTTCGGTGGGTGGAAACGCTTGCAATTTCGGGACACAAAGTAGAGGTTTATTTCGAAAGTGCAATCTGGCCGATAACAGATTATTAAAACTTACCATATGGAAATATAATAAGCAAATACGTGGACTATTTCTGGTTCCCGCAGAGGCTGAAATGAAGATGACTATCTTCTGGGACGTAACTATGTGTGATCTGGTAGAAACTTAACGACGTTTCGGAAGATACTACTGCCTCATCATCAGGACTCTTCGCCCTCATGTTTGAGGTATTAACAGCCTCTCACCAGACTACACGGCGCTGCTTCCTAATGACATTCATCTTTGTTCTTAATCTGTTTAATTACAAGGAAGCTAGAGATACGTGCGTGTCTTTCTTTCCTGAGTCATACTTAAGATCAGATGAAGTGAATTTTGTTTGAAATCCTGAAGGACGTTGAGCCAAGCTTTCCCCTACGTCGCTTAGATGAACGGGCGTTATTTCAATGAGTCGTAGACGTCACATCCGGAGATGTAATCTGTTTGTTTTAACGTACCGCACTACAGAGGACAGGGTACAGAATCATCTGACGTAACATAAGCTTCAAGGGACTATTTCGTTTGAGAAACATTTAATCTCTTAATTGAATACTACGACGCTGTTTCGACTGAAAAAATGTTGTTAATAGGACTAATAACAATGATAATAAGAGGAGTACACTAAAGTTTTAAAGGCGTTCTTTACTGGACATCGCTTGCGATCATGTCAGCAAGGACATTAAGGAAAGAGGACATGCAAAAATGATATAAAACGCAAAAGTTACGTCCAAAATGAATTTTTTGTCATTGTAATCCAAACAGCGTGATAAAATATGCGACAGACGGACGCGTACGGGACGATAAAGTGATAATGTTGTTCTGAGTCTTGGTGCCAGGTACACTCGTCGGCAGTCTGCAACGTTCTGTCTCCATCTTCATCTTACTATTATTCCATCCATTCATCATTTTCTATGTGCCTGAGATAAACCTTGCCCCTGAGGTACATAGTGCAGCAGCTATTTCTGAAATACATTTTATTTTTAATATGTGTTTCGTGCATTAAACAGATTATTATTATTATTATTATTATTATTAGGGTGAAAGGAGAAAGACGGATTTGGCATACGACCATCCCCTTAGAAATGCCAATTACGCAACCAGATACGTATTTATATTCTAGAGTTTTTGTTGTTGTATAATTTTGGAGGGTGTTACCAACATTTCGAACGAAAGTTCAAAACAATCTCCAAGACTAAACGGCGTCACATTCCTGTATATGAAATCGATGCTATTTTCAGATCACATGGAGACCAATATTACTCTGTGGCAGTTCTTGCTGGAACTTCTCATCAGCAACCAGTACACAAGCATCATCACTTGGACCAACAATGACGGGGAATTTAAGCTCGTAAATGCAGAGGAGGTGGCACGACTGTGGGGACTCCGGAAGAATAAGACCAACATGAATTACGACAAGCTGAGTAGAGCTCTGCGCTATTACTACGATAAAAATATTATTAAGAAAGTGATGGGCCAGAAATTTGTCTACAGGTGAGAACAATTTACATTAATTTGTAGGACTGAAAATGTTCTCGGAAGAATTTGAAACTCTGGCAGAATCTATAAATTAGTATCATACATTTTGATTAATGCAATTTAAGAAGAAAAAATCCTTTCCTAAGTAGATGTTACGCTTCCGAATTCAATCTTGAAGACATTTTAGCTTCGGTGTTGTTCTGGGCTGTGACACCGTGTAGACTCGTAGGAAGATACTAACAATTCGGAGAAATTACTACTTTTATTTTCAGTCCCTCTCGCGTGCTGTAGCTTCTGTTTATGAAGAGGGATCCCGAGATCTGAAGGTTGTAACATTGTCTTGGGGTGTCTGTACATGACGGTGACACCCCTGGTTCATCAAGTATAATTTTTTCTAAGAGTGCCTGCTAGACTAATAAGAGGAAGAAGCTTGTTAAATGTAAATGTTCATACAACGTTGTATGAACAAAAGGGAAGGGTTGACAGATTTCACTGCTGGGTTTGATTCAATTAGTTACACGTTGACAACAATCTGTATGCATTCCAGGTCGACAGCAGTACCTTTACAAAACGTAGCATTCCATGGTTTCATCGAAGGGCATTTTGTTTCTATAACTGTAGTAAAGGAATTAAACTACCTTAAAACGGTAGACGCAACCTTTTAGTGTAGTCTATCAAATGGGTCCTGAGTGTACGCAGTTTCTGTTCACACCAAACAGTGGACGAAGTTGCTCAATTTGTGCATTGTATTATCATATGAATAGGTTCCAGAACACGCGCATTGATTCTTATACCGATCTCCATTTAAGAAAAAAGAAATATAAATCTGACAATGAATATTCTTGGACAACGACAACCTCTGTCGTAGCTGAAGAAACAGAAGGAAAGGCTCGATCTGAAGTTTTCACGGCGGTGAATCTTAAGATGACTGTCTTCTGGGTTGCAGCGCCTTGAGTGTAGTCTGACAGAGGTTTACCGGCGTGTCGGAGGTTCTCGCTGCCTCCATCATCAGGGCCCTGACACGGCGCTACAACTCAGAAGACAGACGTCTTCGCTCTGTACAATGCTAGCACCTATTGAATGATTCTCAGAAGTTGACAGTTTCTTTGTTGTAGGTTTGTTTCATTCCCTGAGATTGTGAAAATGGAAAGCAAAGTTCCATTCCGAGTGAAGATGGAAAGTCTACAGAAAACGCCCGGAGGAATTTTTAGTGGTAGATTCTATTACGGATCTCCCGGAGGAGGCATCAGACTTGGTGGATTCTCTGCAAGTACCTCAGGCCTTCAAGGTACGCTATAACATTTCCCTGTTGTACTTAATACGTCAGAAAAAATTATTTAAATAAAATTTAACAATATTTACATCATACTCAGACCGTAACAGCAAAACATCAGTTCATGAAAATCCAAGACTTCTTAATCGGATCTTAAATTTTCCTGTTAAATGACTTCGATTTGATATTGTCGTTCCGAAACATTTTAATTTTGATACAGAGTTATCAAATTATATGCTAATATATGCAAGAGATTTTGATAACTTCGGCATTGAGCTACGTTGATATATGGAACACGTCATAAGAATTCTTATAAGGTTCTATCCAACAAACGTTAGTCATTTAGTGTAATATGAAACAGTTACTCTCTTCTTATACTATGCAAAATGTTAAGATGTTTTCCCCATCTTGTTAACAGCCTCTTAATGGCTTGTAGAAACTGGCGTACATAGTAAGTGTTTCTGTATAAAGTTAGCCCCGTTCTGATGCGGCAACTTCTCCAACACGTATGTAGAGAGGGTCGTCTAAACGCATCCTTGCCGTATTTTCGTACGTACCAATGCTGTACGTTTTTGCAGAGAACGCTGTCCAAACATTGCACCATAGATAATTAGAGCAGTCTTCCACTTGGACAGATCTGTTATTTTTCTATTGTCTGTACAAAAATATCGACCCAGTTATGTTTACCACAAAATTAATGGTTATATCAGCGTGAAGAAGGCTAAATTCTCATGGCTTATGACAACGTGTGGCCTGGTAAAAGTTTAACCACGTTTAAGAGATCCCTGCTGCCTCCATCATCGTCACTCTGGTAATAGAGGAAACTTAAGAATATGTATATTTTCATTGACAGAACTGATATATCAGATTCTCTAATTTCAGATGTCCCTGACTTGTGTTCTCCACTTGCTTTGCCCCCATCGCTTCTGGACATGTGGAAGAAGCTTCCATTGTCTCTAGCCCTGCAGAGTAAGGACAGAAGTATTAATCTTTCTACAACATATAAACCAGTTAATTTAGACACCAAAAGCCAGGGGCATTACAGTCACCAGACAGAAAGATGCCGATCACCACTGAGTCACTACTTCCTCCAGCAAGGCAGTAATTCCGACTCCACCGCGTTGGACAGGAAGCAAGACTGTGCTGCTTCTTTGAACATCTGTCCTTCAACTTATCAGGCATTTGCATCCAAGACATCTGCTCCCATCCATCATTTCTGGAGTTCAATCAATCCAATCCCTGCTCTCAGTGCTTACTCACAATTTCAATTCCCTTTTCCAACACACTCTTCTCTTGTTTACCCAGCATCCGCTCCTTCCCCCCTTTCAATCCTCTCACCAACAAAAGCCCCCATTTCCGTCATTCAGTAATTGTGTCCATCGCAGGGATGTAATAACGTTTACTGCAAGTGAGCCAACTGTGACATTCCCCCAAAACCTGACAAAAGAAATCACAGATCATAAAAAGAAGAAAATGGTGAAAACAAATCTCAGTTTTCCTCAAACTGTTTCTGCATTCCGATTCAACACGCGAATCTTCCAAAACAATCCATTTTTTAAAGCATATGGATCAGAAGTAGAATTTATTTGTCCCATTTGGGGATTGCAAGGAAAGTTCTTTCTCTATTCAGAATTGTAAATTAATTATACTGTCGACATGTTTTCTCTTCATTGCAGAGCCCTCTTACAACTTAATTTTATAAAACAAAGCATTCTGGTTTTACATATGCTAAATATTTTGGTGAGTATTGAGCCCCCACACTCCGCCATGTATAAGATCATGGCTCACCTAACGTAATTAGACAATAACGTTCAGTGAAGTGGCTTCTTAAACCACATAAAGAATCCATCAGTTTTCAGCCATTTAAAAATACAATATTATTAAAATTGGTGAGATTTCAGTTTCTCATAGTGGCGAGGGTTACAGTGACTGGCTTCTGGGGGTGTTGCCTCCAACATCAGTGTCCTGACGATAGAGGCAGCTAGGACCTCTGAAACGTTGGTAAACTTCTACCAGACGACATGGCGCAACAACCCAGAAGACTGCCATCTTCATTCTTAAATTGCTTTAGTGACAGGATTAAGACAGGCTTGAGGAAGCTGATATATTTGAAAAAAAGAGATTTCTCGTCAATAGCTGTTACAGAGATAAAGCAAATGTAAATAGTTTTTTGGATGAATTTTACATTTCCAGCCATAGGATTTATAGTGTAAAGTTACTCTTTTTCGCCAATTAGTCATCGTAAGAAAAGGAACACAAAACACGAAAATTTAGCTTTAAGGAATTGGGGATTTGAAACCCATACTGTGTGGCTATTTTAAGACCAGGTTTAACAAATTGGCAATGTGCTTCTCCGTGGCACAATTCCAACAAAGGTTAATCTAGTAGCTGAACCAATTAAACATGGGAGCCATATTAACTTCATTGTTTGGGAAATATTATATAAAGTGTTGTTTCTTCAAAGAGGAGGAGGAGCACGTAGACTTCGACTTGAAACTAATGTTATGCTTATAAGACACATGAGATTATGTTAAAATTTTCTTATAATTTTATGTATCATATGGAGTTGGGGGACAGAAGAGAAAAAGGTAGAGAGTTCTGGTGTGTTGTGCATGTTATCTAAAATAATAGACAGTGCACAAAAAGAATGTTTGTTGCTTTGTCTTCTGTTTGATGTATTACTATGTATTACAGTGCTGTAGAAAGCCAAGCACATCATGTGTGTAAAGAAATAAACAAGTGAATACACATCTGTAAGACTTGAGGTTCTCACAACGGTGAGTATGAAGATTTCCGTCTTCTTACCTATGAGGCTGACCACACCCCATACTTTTACATTTAGAATATTAATATTGCAAATGTTACTTTCTCCTTGTGTTATCCTTCTAATGTTGTAACTATAGTGTTCTTTAATAACATTTTTGATCTGGATGACTTGGTATGATGCCAACCAACCGCCAACCGAAAAGCTAACCAAGTGCTTTGTTTGAATATTTCTCATTCCTACGTACTTACAAAATGCATGGATGGAAATGGTAAGCAGGGCCATATAAGTTATAACTATGATTTTTCTAATGGAGTTTTTGTCATGGTGGAATGTCTTGACATGTTCAAACAAGGGACTGTTGCTACTGGTGGGAGGATTATCCTATCAGGAAATTTGTCTTTTACAAAAGAACTTTGGTTAGATGGATATTTGGGAGTTAAAACCAGAAGGTTTAGAATCACTTTGGTGGATGGCCACTTGTGACTTTGGTGAGAGGAGTTGCAGTCAGGTGAAATAGATTTGATGGTGCTGATTAGTGGAATGGAGAAATGAGCTGATATCAAATGGGAGAAGAGAATGGCTGAGGAAAAGAGGTGGTGTGTTTTTATAGACACGTGGTGACAAATATAGTTATTGAAAGAAATTAGTCAAGAAATTATTTCCAGCAATTATGTGGAAAGGAGAGGTGATTCTTTGACCTTGAGATTCAGAGTAGAATTGATGAAGAAATAGTCCTTCTGAGGGTGTGATGAAGGAGAAGATAAGAAGTAGAAAGAAAATCTTTTGGGGTTGCACTGGGGAAAAGAGAAGGTGAGGACAGATTGAGTATGTAGGGAGAAATGCTTAGATATCGCAGAAGTAAAAGTAAAGTAAAGTTTGTCCCACTATACGCTATGTAGGCGTTTGGGGTGAGTGGAGGTATAGCTCCTCTCTTCCTTGACCTCGGCACTAGATGGGGGTGAGTGGTTAGCATCATGCCCTGGCCAATAGATATCGCAGAAGTAGTGTTGGTAAAACATGTGAAATAAGGCTTTGCTTACCCTTCAACAGTCCGGAGGTGTTCTATTGCTTCTGAATATGCTGTTCATCCAGAAATAAAAGACTTTGTACCATGGAATCAGTCAGTCAATTAACTGATATGAGTAATTCAATTATTTGCATGGTATACGCCATTAAATGACATGTTCTACATCCTTTGGTTTAGTCCTAAGAAGGATGTATGGAATGTAATAAATAAACTAAACTACTCTACTCTATTATACTGGCTGAGGTAGCCATGAACAGAAGCGAGAATTTTTCCGCAGGATGTTGAAACCATAGATTCTAGAAGTGTTCCGAGGTTGAAACCACAGGTTAAAAAGTAACGGTCGTGACCGAAGCCTTCGGATTTTCTGTTTCTGCGGTTGTGAGTGGATGGGACTTACATGATTATGAGTCAGTGTTGGGAGGAGAGATGGGATTTATGTGTAGGAGAGACGTTGCGTGAAGTTGTTAATCATTGATAGGCGTATGTTTACAAGATTTTCGTTTGTTTAGTGAGAATTGAAGTGTTGTCGAGAAGTTTATAAATTGTGTGTAATGGGACTGACATTTTCAAATACGTAACAGGACCTACGCTTTTGTGAACCACTCCCTTATGAAGCTTCGTCGTTACCAACGGTAGTGCTAAGGAATTTCAAATACTTTGTAGGAATGTAAATTAATAACGCTTTATAACAGGTGTGGTTGGGAAGTAGTTGTTCACGATCGTGTATTGACACAAATGTTTGTATGTGTATGCCACTCTTAAATACTTTTTGTATATATGACGCTGTCAGCAGCTTAGACTGTATAACATTGAATGACAGGCTATGAAAGGAGGAGGTACTATCCTGGGATTCACCAGGATGAACTGAGTACAGCCACAGAAACCCAGAATGTCCATCTCTGTAGATACATAAACAAAAGAGACTGACTTCTTATTATTATAATCACTGAAACTGAGGAAACCCATAAAAAGGGTGGTTAAGCTGGAGACCTGGTTAAGGGAACATCATTTAAGGGAGAGTCCACTGTAGTGTCATTCTTCTTTGTTACATCATACATTTTTTCCTTCTTATTTTAGGTAGTAATAATGTTGGAAGTTGGCTGGTTTTTGATACTGGCCTTGCCATGTGTAATTTCCCAAATTCGAACCTTGGATTCAGAAATGAGATGCCCTGAGCACTGGGTCAAGTTTCAGCTATCCTGTTATCGATTTATCAAGTCTCCACTTCGCAATCGCAATGATGCCAAGAAAAATTGTGAGGTAGGCTTTGATGAGTCTTACACAAGCTTATGTTCTGCAGCAGCACATTTCAGAAACATTTTGAGTTGAATCTAAAAAGCTACAGTTGATAATTTTTGTGTGCTGTTTTGGTTTTAAGTTATTTGTTTGTGTTAACATTTTATTTTATGTTGAATATGTATGAGGTTAGGCACATATAAGTGGGTATGAGTTATTATTACCTATCTCATTGTTATTGTAAAGTTTAAAGGATATAAATTGTAATATGCTGGTGAAATTCTTTCAGTATTGTTCCAAGCAGAGTGTATACTCTTGAGATCCAGAATGTTTGGTTTAGAATAAGGAAGAATTGCCACAGCAATAAAAGGAATCTATTTCTGTATTATATGTTGTTTCATTGTTGACCATGTTTTGTTGTGAATGTTGGCATATTTATTTTAAAGAACTTCACAAAACCTTAAATTTTGTATGTCATCTTAATTATCAGTTAAAAGAACTTCATTTTGCACTGCATTTTACCATTGCACAAGTATAGTACTATCCAATGCAGTATGCAGTCAAGATGGTATGACAGAATTAATGCTGTAAAAACCTCATAGTTCACTAAAATTGGGGTGGAATTTTAAATGCATTTTAGGCCTACCAGTCAGACCTGGTGAGTGTGAATACTCCTGATGAACATGGTTTCCTGGTCAATGAGCTGTTGTGGCAGGATCCCCAGCACCGTCGTTGGTATACAAGTGCACGTCAACAAAGCCCTGACTATTGGATAAATGGAGATAACACACAGTTGATGAACATGGATAATGCTTTCCTTCCAGAGCATCAGTCTACCTTCAATAAAGATATCCTTGTTTACAGGTAATTCAGTGTTGTAACAAAGTAACTTTGGGACTGTTTCCATGTCACAAATGTGATGAATTCTTTTGGACCTGAAATCTGCCTTGAAGGGCTTTGTTATATGATATCAACTCATAAAACCTCTACTCTAGTTTTATCAACAGTTCTACCCACTCTTATCAGTTTGTAAACGATGAAGTTTTAAGCTGTTACGAGATTTTAGGTTCTCATGGCAATGAAGATGTTAATGGTGGTCTTCTGGTTAATAATTTCATTTAAAGTTGTAGGTAAATTCCAGTGTTTCAGAGAAACCCTGAAGGTGGAGGAAGTATGTTTCTTTGGAATATTGGTATCTGTCTACAAGTCTGCATGGAATTACTATCCAGAAGTCCGGCATTTACATACATGAATCATGTTTCCCATAAAGTATGAAACATGGAAAAAGTTTAGATAATTGAACTTCTATTACAATTTTTCATCTCGTAACATTATTTTGTATTTATAATTGTCGATATTGGCAAGAAATTCAAACAAGCCGTACTTACCTGCCTTATGCTTTTTTGATGCATTATTTTTTTAATTTAAAAATCATTTTTGTAATGATCACTGTCTTATAACTTGTGTTTGTATTTTGTAATTTGTAACTTAATATAATGCTGATAGTATATATGTGACAAAAGGTAAAAATAATATGATTATTGTTGCAGTTTCTCTAACCAGTTAAGACGTTGGGGTTTTGAACAAGTTGCTGGAGATGAGCCCCTTGTGTTTATCTGTGAAGCACCTATTGACATTCTGCAATATCTGGTTGTGGATGACCGCACATACCAATATGGTGTTGATGTTGAAGACCCGCTTAAAGTGCCACGAGGTCCGTTCTTCATCAAGCAACCACATGATGTAGTGTTTGATGTGTCAAAGAGAGAGATTCTAAATGATATCTCTTTAAGGTTAGTTGAAGTTCAGTGAAACATCTAGCCACTGTTGTCTGAGCTATCTCAGTTCATCCATTTAATGCCTTAAATATAGTTTTTATATATTCTGTCATTCAGATGTGTTTAATTGCTATCAAAATCATCATTGAGAAACAATTTAATACTTTATAATTTCACAGAATGATATTTTAATTATCTTATTTTAAATACATTGTGATTTGACGGAATAACCAAATAATTTAATTTTAATTTAATAAATCACAATATGACGCAACTACACTATCTTACTTTATAATTGTTCAAGGTCTTGGTAAGATCGTTAGTGTTCTTATTGTAATTGTCTTTGTTCCAAAGAAATATTTAGTTTTTAGTGTTCATGGTTGTTGTTATTATTTTGGCTAAATTTATGCAGTATGCAATATGTTTTCTTTGTGAGGTTTGAGCATTAATCAGTATCTTATGCAAAGTTTAAGTTCTTTCCATTTTAGAATTAGTTTATTTCTTGTAGTAAAGTAGTGGAAATCAACTTTGCTTCACACTTGATTCCTAGTCATTCCATTTAATCATTTTATTTTAATATTGAATTAATGTTTTCAGCTGTTTTGCTGGTGGCTTTCCAACACCAACGTATGAGTGGTTCAAGGAAGACTATGAGAATGACAGATTGCTGTCTCACAAGGTAGACCCACTCAGTGATCGGCGTTACACGCTAAGTGGCGGAACTCTGATTATCAATGACCCAAGACAGGTAATTTGACATCTTTGGAATTTATACGAAAAAAAACCGTTCACTCTTGAACATTTAAATAAAAGGTGCTATATTCATCATACATTAAGGATATTTAGGTAAGATTCTGATTTCTTTGAACTTGTTCTGTTGACTGACTAACATTTCATCTGAGAAGTGTGTGGTCCACAAACCACATAAGACCCCTGATTAATTGCGAAAATTCTCTTATTGTGGTTTCTCCATGTATGGAACGAGTTTCTTGGAAATGCTCTCTTGGGTACGAACCTCATTTTGATTTTTTTAAATGATGGATTTCTGTTATCAATAACTGGACCTCTAAAGTATGCACCGAGATGAAAGAGTCACTTGAAAAGTCTTGGTACTATGAAATGGAGTGCAACTGTCCAACCTTTTTTTAATGATGATTGTTGATGTACATAATTATTTTCTCATATTGTCTTTCTGGTTGCTGTAGAATTGTTCATGTCAGCTCAGTGTTCACAATATCATTTTACAACCAGTAATGAAATTTATAATTTTTTACGCCCTTGGTATAAACTGATGACAAATGCGCTGTCGTATTATCTCGGCTGGGCTTGAATTAGCACCTAATCTGAATGTAATTGTAGCATTTTTAATAAATATTAATTTGTTTTTATGCAGATTGAGGACAGAGGCACATATCATTGCAGAGCAACCAATGAGTTTGGTTCAATAGTATCAGAGAGCGTGCAGCTTACTTTTGGATTCATTGGGGAATTCAACTTGAAGAGATCTCCAGAGAGTGGAAATCAGAACTGGGGAAAATCAATTTACTGCGATCCTCCTCAACATTTCCCAGGTTAGAGAAAGTTTAAGAGAGACTTTGATTGCAGCTGTTGGATGTTTAATTTAAGAACGTCAATGTTATCAGTAGGTTTACTTTGACAGTTGCTGCTTATGTACTTAATTGACAAATGTATCAGTTAACTGTGAATACTTGATAGTAATATTTAATGTAGCACTTTTTAACTTAATAATTTCTTTACTGTTACACAGGTGTAAAATATTACTGGGCACGTGACTACTTCCCTAATTTTGTGGAGGAGGATAAACGTGTCTTTGTCTCATACGATGGCGCTCTTTATTTCTCGGCTCTGGAGCACATCGATCGAGGCAACTACAGTTGTAATGTCCAGAGCAAAGTTTCTGATAAAGGCCGCAATGGGCCCTTTTTCCCCTTGCGTGTACAGCCATATCGTAAGTTCTGTAGATATTTAAGGGTGTTAATGGAAGCCACATCAAGCGTTGTAGTCATTCTGTATATTAAGAGTATAAATTACCATGCTTGTTATTGAGTAATGTAGATTAAAGATAAAAGAAAAAGTATCTGTTAAGTTTCTAAATAAATTTCATGTGTATATAGATTAATACATAATTTGTGTAATACCTTGGATAATTGTTTGGAATATTGTAGTTTAGGATACATTTTGTGTTGAAAATCTGTATATGTCACTATTGACTGTTCTTGTGGTTTTTAATGCTGTAGTCTTGTAGGTGGTTACAAATTACAAAACTGTACAGTGTTACAACCCAGAAAGGCACAGTCAACATGTCCACTGCTGCGTGAACCTCAGGTCTCAGCCAGTATTCCTTACTTTCTTTCAGCAAATTATCAGCAGTTGAAATTTCCAAATAATTTCCCAAAAGCTTTTCCTGAAGCTCCCGTAGCAGGTCATGAGGTTCGTCTGGAGTGCGTTGCTTTCGGATAGTAAGTACATGCCATAATTTTGCTGCCAGTTGCTCATTAACAGGTTCTTCTTTTGTTATTTTTTAAAATATAAGAGTGGTTTTTAGGTGTTCCTCAGGCTGTAGTGTGAGTGAAGGGCACCTTGTTACCACATTAATCCCGGGAATTAGGCAACCACCATGACAAGGGTTAATGTTTAGTTGATACGTTGTTGGCTCACAGTACCAGTGATGTTGAATACCATCGTTGCCTGCAATTCCTTTGAACCATAGCAATCATTGAAGGAACCTGCTGACTTCATTGCCCGTCATGTGGCATGAAGAAAGCATTTAGAATTTCTGTGTTCTCCATGGAGTACACCTTTCCATTCTTGTTTTTAACAGATGTTTTACTTTGTCTGAGTTTATAAGATCTCAGTTATATAAAATACAAGGAAAGAAAATATGGTCAGAATTGGGAACGATTTCTTTGTAGCCCAGTGCCATCTTATAACTGGACTCGCAGAGGTACAAACTTGCCGAAGAGTGCCATCACTACCAGCTATAATCGAGTACTGATTATACCAAAAGCTCAAGTGGAAGATCAGGGCGAGTATGTATGTCGAGCAACCAATGACAGAGCAGCTATTCAACATAGTGTGGTCCTTAGCATTCAAGGTAAGGGACTGATCGTGTTCACTTGCGTGAAGAAATAGATTTGTCTGCACAGTTGAAACTGTGCCAAGGTGAATGGGGTGAATAATTTAATTTTTGGCGGTCTTCGTCCGTATTAAATTGTCTGTGATTGTAAACCGTGTATTTGTTCCAGCTGAACCGAATTTCACAATTCCTCTGGTAGACAAGCATATGGATAATAAAGGAGAGCTTACATGGACATGTGAAGCATTTGGAATTCCTGACGTAAATTACACTTGGTTGAGGAATGGAGAATTGTTGGAGGTGAACAAATTGCCTACCGAAGACAGGGACCGCTACATCACCGTGGATAATGTACTGACAATTAAGTACTTGGATCCTGAGAGAGATCAGGCTATGTACCAGTGTCGAGCCAGAAATGTTCTTAAAACGAAGTATTCTTCAGCACAGTTGAGGATTATATGTAAGTACTTCTGAACAAATGCTTAGGGGATTATGCAGGAGAAGGTAATTGAACTTATCTGGCTCAGGGTAGCGACCGACGGTGGGCTTTTGTGATTACAGTAATGAACCTCCGTGTTCCATAAAGGACTGGGAACTTCGTCACTACCTGGATGAATATTAGCTACTCAAAAAGGACACTGCTTCATGGGGGTTAGTTATTAGTGATATTTGTGTGTTTTAGCGTTGAAACCTTCGTTCAAGAAACGACCCCTCGAGTTGGAAATGTATGCTGCAGAAGGTGGAAATATAACAATAACATGTAATCCTGAGGCAGCTCCAAGACCCAAGTTTGTGTGGAAAAAGGATGGCAATGTTATAGGTGAGGATTGTGTTTAACCTCAATAAATTGTTGACATTACTTTCTTTCCATAGCTAAGATATGGCATTTTATAAAGTAATTTTCTCTCATATTTGTCGTGAATATTATTATGATTGAAATCAGGATCTTCCCAATGTCTTGAGTGAGGTTCTTTATGTCATTTGCAAACTTCTGGGCCAACTTCTGATTGATAAGGGATAGAATTAAAAAATGTAAACATAATTATGTTCAGAGTTTCTTTCTGAAGACTTGTACCTGAAGTTGTATGTTGTATGTGTTTGATGAACCATGAAATATGATCTGAATGGATAACTGAAATTTTGTTTACAGTTAAGTAAATAAGCCATGTAGTGCAACAGTTACAAATGTTCTGTAATTCATAGCGTTTGACCTTACAAACTCTTGCTATTGGTAAGAAACTTTTTGTTATTTTTAGGTAGTGGTGGTCGTCGACGTATTCTAGAAAATGGTAATCTCATAGTTAGTCCTGTTTCTCGAGATGATGCTGGCCTCTACACATGCACAGCGTCTAATATTTATGGATCTGATGAGAGCAAAGGCAGGCTGATAGTGCTGCGTAAGTGTACATTCATTTGTATGCCTTCTTATAAAAGTTTATGAGTTAGATTGACAGAATTATATGTTCAAGTCATGAGAAATGCATGAAAACTGTTTAGAATAAAATTCAAGGAACCGACATGTTTGGATTTTATTGTATGATTTTCAAACACAATTTTCAGATTTTTACTTGTTTTTATTCATGAAGCTCGAGGAAATGTTCTTTTCATCTCAATACCATTTGGATATTTCCATATTGTCTCCACAAAAATCTGTGAAGTATGCTTCTAAATAATGAACTTCTGATTCACAGACGTGAAAGTTGCAGCAATCAAGGGTCATGGGTTCAAAAGGGAATGAGGTATTTTATGTCAGGACATAGGTCAGGTGAACTTAACTTTTGTATTTGCTTGTGACACATGATGCAGTCATGTGAGGCAGTTGCAGACAGTTATATATATGGTGTGCCTTTGATGTAACAAGAATGTTTAGAATCTAGAAAGTGCTCATTCTAATGGGTACTAATTATGTCTGAAAAATGTTGAAATGTAAAGCATTCCACCTATCTCATAGCTATTAATTAACATGTTACAGTACTTCAGCAAGTCAATGTGATTAGGGCAATATTTATTCTTGTTTTGATGTGGTTATCATGGAAATTTGAAAGCAGTAGAGTCCAGGCTAAATAGGAACAGTGAACAGGAAAGAGGGTTTCTCCTTGAGCCTGTCATTTACACCCAGAAGGAACAAAACCAGGCTCTTGCCAAGGGCATTTGCGTGCCCTTTCACCCACCCTCTGCTCATTGTCCTTATAAGGCCTCTTTCATGATAGTTGGCCCCTGTGTGTCATTCTTCAGAATTGCCATTTTTAGGTCCTTTCTGGTAACCATAATCGTGACCTTTTATTGATTTCAGTGTTTGTAGCTAATCCTTGAATATTATATTGCTTTTGTTTTTATCCGTTTTTATTACATCTCAGCTTGAATATTATGTTTGCCCTGTTTCTGAAAGGAAACATACTAGAAAAAAAATTATATATGTGGTGGTGCAATAAATATGAGATGTAGAAGGTGTGTTCAGAAGTGATTGGTTTGTTGCAGAGGGTCCTAGGTTTGTTGAGCAGTTGAGACCCAATACTGTGACTTCAGTAGAAGATGATGTCACACTCAGGTGCCATGCTCAGTCAGAGGAAATCCTTGATGTTGCCTACATATGGACGCACAATGGCCTTCGCATACGAGACACAGACCTCATTCATACTCGATTTGTAAGTTTGCCCAGATTCAGAGTTGTAGCAGCTTCTTTCTTATATATTAGTCATGTAATACCAAGGTACAAGAAGTTGTAGGCTGTGTGACTTGGTCCTGGAGCTTTTGTCTTCGTTCTTCCTCTTGTCTTAATTCTAAGCCATATAAAAATTTTCAAAGGAATTACAATTACAGATTTCCAGTTATAATAATTAGTGATTTTTTTTATATTTTTGTGCATATAATGCATTTATAATTGGAGGTCATCCATATCAGTTTATCCACATGCTTCATCTTTGAAATTATTTCCTTGGTTTTTATGATGTTTCATATTGAGTGTACTGCACCATCAGCAGCAGTGGCATTATTACTGGGAATTCTGGAGTCACTTTGCAAAAAATATATTGCTTGAATGTACTTCTGAATGAAATTTTACTGGCTTTCTGCCATTTATTCCAGATTATTGATGGTGGCATACTGGGCATCAAAAACATGACATTTGCAGATGCTGGAGATTATGAGTGCATCATCAAAAGTGCAGTTGGTAGAATTGCAAGTAAGACGTCCGTGTTTGTATATGGGCCTCCTGGACCTCCTGGTAAGCAATAATTATTGAAATTAGGTGAACAGTTCCCTACCAGCTTCTGCTCTGCTTCTCTCTGTTCAGAACTTCAGATTAGATTTCGTAAAGTGAAAATCAGATTTAAATTTGTTTAGTGGGCATCATATAACATTAATTTACCTTTGTTTGTGAGCATTTTTATTTCAAACTCTATGAAGTATGTAGGATTTCAGGTTTTCACAGCAATCTTTGATTAAGTATGTTTGTTATTAGAAAAGAAAAGGCAGTTATGTTTAAACATGAATAAAATTCATGAGAAAATAACATAAAGATGGCTGACTTCTGGGATGTTGCACCATGTAGTGTGGTAGATAATGACTGACATAACCTATGCACTTGAAAAATAATTTTAAATATTCTAAGAATTAAGTAATATTACTGGAAGTATTTAATCATGACTGCATATGAATTTTAGCTTGTCAGGATTATGAGATTAAGAAAACAAAAAGATGTGATTGATGATGCTGAATGTTAAGTGAGAGTGTGTAGGTGTCTGGAATGGCCATAAAGGGAGACAGGTTTAAATTTGAATACAGATAGTTAATGTACATGTACATAAAATAATTGATGTATTTGAATAATATGAATTTACCCTTAGGTGGTGTCCAGGTGGTAGAGGTGAAAAAGAAATCGGCTATAATTCGTTGGACTGATGGTGCCTCTAATGGTCGTCCCATCAACAGATACCTGATATCTGGCCGAACAAACTGGAATAATACATGGATTAACATAACACACAGTAAGTTTATATTTCATAAATTATAATTTTGTTATACAACAGTGTCATTACATTTAGTGTTCCCATGAACAGACCAATTAAAACGTGTTTATCCCTTTAAATTCCAGTGATGACTGATGTGCCATAAGTTTTAATAATGAATAATTACATTTTCTCACAGAATGTATTCAGGAGTTTTGTGAAATTCCCGTAGTAAATAGTGATTATGTCGTTAAACAGCATTAACCAGTTGATAAACTATTAGGAGGGACTGGAATTGAATGTTCTGTGCCGATGGTGTTAATTATGTGGATGGAAACACAAATATTTTAAAGAAAATCACAAGTTTAAATTTGTTGTTTTTACCATTGTATTCCTTGTTTCAAATCTGCATTAATAGTGCCACAGTTCAACTGTAACTCATCCACTTTGTCCTACGCAATGTGTTTTGAACATGTATGTTGACCATCAGGGGCTTACTGTTAAAATATAACTATTGTTGCTTGCATGGATAGTTAATGAGGTCAGTAGCTCAGACTGTATTGTGTTGAATGATGGGATGATTAATGAATTGAGAAGCCTCGGACAGTATAGCCATTCGGACCAGAATTTAAAACTTGCATGAGTAGTGCTAACCACTTGGCTGCTATATGCAGTGTGCATATAATCTATACTACACACTTCATGAAAACACATCCCTTGTGTATAGGTGTGATTACTTGTATATAAATTGTTTTAGATCTTGAAGCACGAGAAATTGATCGCTACACAGGTAGGAAGGAGGCTGTTATTGAGAGCAGTTTGTCTCCCTGGTCAATTTATGAATTTCGAGTTACTGCTGGCAATGACATGGGGTATGGAGTTCCCTCTTCACCATCTCCTCAGTACAACACTCCTCCAGATAGGCCATATATAGCACCACATAGAATTGGTGGTGGAGGTGGCAAGATTGGTGACCTAACCATTAACTGGGAGGTAAGAGACACAGTTAGTGACGTATAACGTTGTGTTCATTATTTACTTGTTTAATTTTAATAAATGTAATTTATCTGGAATGTCTCAGGTTGTCATTGTTCTGTATTTGCAGCCATTGAAGTCTGAGGAACAGAATGGACCAGGAGTTCACTATAAGATATTTTGGCGACGTTCTGAACATGATACAGAATTCCAGTCTCTACTCCTGAAAGAATATGGAAATGTTGGCACGCATGTTGTACGCATACAGCACGAATTCTACTATACAAAATATGATGTGAAAGTTCAGGTAACTAATATGCTGTTTTTGGTTTGCTGTTCTCGCTGTAGTGAAGAGCCAGTGCCTTTCTTCTGGGTTGTGGCAACATGTTGACCTACGAGTCTATATGGCTTCACCACCTAGAACAGCACTCAGCTAATGTGCTGTTTGAATATTAAGCCAGGTCCATAAGAGCATAACACCACAAAGGATTATGCTCATAAACAAGGTTCAGACGTGGACAAGATGATGTGCAGGTCAGGTGAACAAGCCGCACAGTTGTGATCCACCAGTTGTTTGCCGCTCCTGCATGTCCATACTGCTCCAGTGATTTGAATTGAATGCTAACTCCCTCTGCATAATCATACTATGTAATCTTTCGATTTTTTCGCTACCTTTATTTTATGTTATGTACAGATTTTTTATTTTCCAGTCCAAAAATAAGGGTTTGTGTTATACATAAGTAAATACAATAGTTGGCATGGTAAAGATGGAAATTTGTCTCATTGTTAATGTTTTAGGCTATCAATGACATTGGATCTGGACCAGAATCAGAGGTTGTTACAATATTTAGTGCTGAAGATATGCCACAGGTGGCTCCAGCACAGGTGTCCGCTCTGTCATACAATTCTACTGCAATTAATGTAAGCTGGCTTCCCATTGAACAGACTCGGGAAAGGATTCGTGGAAAGCTTATTGGTTACAGAGTAAGTATATTAGCTTCGTCCCTCAGTTTGTATTGCGTAGGTGGCCTATATTTGCACAAGTGTTTCTGAATTTAACAAGTTTAGAAATGTATTCATAGTATAATAATTCCAATATATTCACCCTGTCATTGTCTCTAGAATTTTAATTCAAATTTTTATGCTTTCTTATAAATACTGTAAAATAGGTGTGGTGGACAAGCAAGGACCTGCAATATAGAGTTTGATGAAAATTAATCATGTGATTCTCAAGTTACAAACAATGCAGCATAAAAATCTCTTTTGTTTGAAACGTTATTCTCTCTGCTAAATATTTGGTGAGGTATACTTGAAATGATCGCACAGATACATGTAGATATTCATGTTAAAATTCCAGTTTTATCCATATTTTTGTAGTACTCGTCATTATTGAATTTTATGGATATCTGTTCAGCAGTTTTCGAGTTCATACATACGGATTGATGGAAAGCTGTGGCGAAGGTGATTGGCACATTCTTTACATCATCATTTCAAATGGGATAACTGTTGTTAATACTCATATAAGCTTACTTTGTTAGCTAAAGTATTGGAGAGATGGTTCCAATGAGCAAGATTCTGTGTATTATTTGAGTCGGTTCCAACGTCCGTGGGCCATTGTGGTTGGTCTTCAGCCTGATACAAAATATTATGTGAAAGTAATGGCCTACAACTCTGCAGGAGAGGGTCCAGAGAGTGAGCGTTTCCTGGGTAAGTAACTGTGTGCAGAATTCATGCATTTATCTCCAGCACATATGAGATTTCACAATAATTTTGCAGTGTACAGATAATAGTTATATGTTAACTTCAGTTTCTATGTGATTGGCATTCTGAAGAAGGTAATTCTGATTTTATGTAAAATTATGTTTTCATAGTTGTTTGTTCTGATTTATGTCATCTTTCCATTTTTACAGAAAGGACCTTCAGAAAGGCTCCTCAGAAGCCGCCATCGTCAGTATCTGTGCAGGGAGTGGATCCCTCAACTGTGCGAGTTATTTGGCGCTATGTTGCTCCGAGCTTTGAAGAAGAACCACTTATTGGTTACAAGGTAAATGCTTACATTCTTTTACAGTGTTAAGTATGCAAATATAATTACACTTTTTGCATAAATATGAGTCATGTGCACACCTCACTCAATCTATTTGTTATCCACGTCAGAGTTTCTATATTTATTTCCCCTCCGGCAGTGGTATTTTTCTTTTCCTTTTCTTAAATTTAAAGACACTGGTTGTAGCCATTCCATGACAACTGGTCTGTGCTTACTGTCACACATTGCATTTCCTCATGAAAGTGCAGTTTCAAGTAGAGCAGCTGCACAATGTCTGCAGGTGCTGACCATTAATACACGAGAAAGTTTTTTTTTTTTTTCCTCCCCAGGTCCGTGTATGGGAAATAGACCAGGACATGAGTACAGCTAATGATACAATTGTCCCAGTAGGCTCCAGTCTGGAAGCATACATTCACAATCTCTCTCCAGGAAAGGTGTATCGTATGCGAGTTCTGGCATTTTCCAATGGTGGTGATGGACGAATGTCATCTCCTGCTCTTACTTTTCAGATGGGTGAGTACAGGTACAGGCTCTGAAAACTTTAACATGTGTTAATTACTGCTGAATCTGTATGTGGGTATCAGCATGTTACAGGTACACAGACTGGAAGATCTAGATGGAGTAATCTGCTGTTCACTTCGGCAACCTGTACAGAAATTAAGAGCTGAAAAAGTCATGCTAAGAAGCTAGACAAATGTATTCTTTCTGCATTAGCATAAGGATACATTAGGGTGTATGATGCCATTTTATAGTATGTGTTCTCTGCATCTCATGGTTTTGTTGTTCAATGTTTCTCTGCTACTGGTTTGGGCTTGACAGCTGACTCATTAGAATAGCATTCCATTTCTTTGTTTATTGGGTCGGTTTTCAGAATAGGCTTCTTGTCCTGCCACTACGAGCATTTTCTGGCTGTTGCTTCACTGTGCTCTCCTTTCAGATCCCCCCAACTGATCCACTTGTACGTGCCTTCTATTCATTCTTCAAAATCCGAGTATGTTAGTGCAAGTCCGACAGAAATCTGATGGCCACATAGTTCCATCAGTCTGGGGGGTTGGGGGTTATCATATGTATATGCCAGCAGGGCTTATATAAACTGGTTACTGAGATACAAATCTACATACATACACGTCTCTCTTGTGGTCGTCCTCTCTCTTGCATGGAGAGCATTGTAAACACATTTGTGATCTTGACTATAGTTTTCTGTGCTGAATTTCTAATTTATCACAATTGTAGTAAAGATTTAAGGAATTTTCAGGTGATGCAGCGACATTCAGAAACAGAAGCTCCCGTGACTTTGCAGACACTTCTGCAGTTGTGTTTCTTTTACTTGTTTGGATGTTGGGTGTGGTATGATTCAGCAAGCTGCAGTTGGCTGCTTCCCTCAAGTGCTCTTATGAAGCCTGTAGTTTTGAAACCAAAAGAGTATTATATATTGACTCCTTGATGTTAAGAATGTTACATGAATAACTGATAATGAAGCTAACTACTTGAGCAGATGAGATATGATCATGGCTATTTCTAGTGTCTTTTAGATTTAACAATAAATTCAGAATTTGTATTAGGGTATTCTGGATTTACCATCGTGACTAATTTTGTCTGCAGTTGAATTTACTTTGCGCCCTTAATCAACACTGAAACAAATGTTGGTATTGGTGTAGTATGTTTGTTACTGACAGGTATTATTTTTATCTAAGATATTTGAAGTTTATTTTATTTTAGAATATTGGTATTAATTTTGTGCATATTTTGTAGCTGTGGATGAAAATGGTTCAGTGGCATATTTTATATTTGTTCTGTCATTCACCTTCACATGAAACTGTCAGGTTACAAAGTCTTTTTAATGTCTCGATGATATTACCACTAAGTTGTACCCAGTGTAATTTCTTTTACAATAGCCAAGACAGAAATGCATTTCTCATATGTCACTAGCTTGCAGGTAGAAGGAAAAAAAAAAGCTTAACATAACCAATGGCATTACCAACATAAGAACTGAGACAGTGAGCTGCAAAGTACTGCCACTGGGAAATAATGTTTAATAGTGTGGATAATACATGCTTCCTTACGTACTATCCCTCCCACCTCTCACATTCCCTTGCCTTTAGTTCTAATGGATGTTGCTTACGTTGATTCACCCCAAACTAACGAACTATGGTATTAGTTTCTGTAAATATTAATTTTCAGGTGAAAGGGCACACAGTCATTGTCTTCTCCAGTATGTTGCACTTCTATATAACTTGGATATAAAACTAGTAAATGAACATTGCTGCTGTTACAATCTCAAGTCTCACCTAGTAATTAGATAGTTCTAATCAGCTCTTAACATAGCTTTAAGTCTCTATTAATAATAGTGCTTTACTTGGTACAGACGTGCATATAAAGTATTCTTTTAGATATGTTTTGCAGGCACAGATATGTCTTAAAAATACATATAAGTTTGCAGTAATATGTTAAAATTTATGTACAGAAATAACATGCCTCGAACAGCAATTATTGTCCTGTTTCTGGGTTGGGTAGACAGTTTTTCCTTTCATTAAACAACCTTGCTGTAGCATATATGTTCTTTAACATATATACTGTGTTAGATACCGGGAGAACTTTATAAATATGTGAGATAATTATAATTTATTTTATTTTACACCTTTTTTTACATCCCATAATGGATTTATAAACATATTACAAGAATCTCATATTTTGTTGAAAAATGAAATATTTAAATGCTGTGGTGTCTCCATGTTCCTTGGTTTAGTACTCAGATCCAAGGATACTTTAAATGGGAATTGTACTGAACGCTACAGAACTGTAGAACTGTGATCATAAACATTCCATTAATAGATCATTCCAAATGTCAACAGTCTGTAGCTGCAGAAATAAGTCTGTTACGCTAGGTTTCTAAACCTAGTCATTTCATAGTGCCATTGAACCATTCTCATTCATGTGGAATGTGCTCTTTTGGTTTATAATATTGCAAAACTGCGGTATAATTTGTGTTTCTGTTATGTTTAATGCTCTTTTGATTTATAATATTGCAAAACTGTGGTATAGTGTGTGTTTCTGTTATGTTTAAAATTATGTATGGCTGCTTACCTATTTAAGAATAATTTGAAATGATCTTGACATCTGGAGCTGTATTACATTGTAGGGTGTCCTGATATTTTGCTTTGATTGAAACAATTTGTAAGATAAGGTATTTTAACTGTTTAAAATGTTAGTACCCAGAGAACAATACGTGGTTAATTTTTATCTCGTGAAGAAGTCAAACCTAATAATGCTGTACACGGCCAGAAATAACCAAGTTGAGTAATTCGTTTACACATTATTGTGTTTTAATATTCACATTACAGTAATACAGGGACCCGGTCTATCATGAGACCAACAGCCTTCGTACACAATTGGAAAGTCAAAGTGTGCTGCACATTCAATTTGTGTTCAGAGAATAATAAGGAAGATTTTTTTGTGAAACAGTAAATTCCAAATATTTTGTAAGATTGTGACAGACTTTTTTAAGCAATTGACTAAAGATAAAAGAAAAACATATAGGAATTTAATGCACAGGTGAACGAGTGGTAAGTTAAAGATTGTGGCCTGTCCTCTCACTTGATTTAAATCCCTGTGACTTTTATTTGTGAAGCACACTAAGAGAAAAAGTATATGTGAATGATTCTCATTTACTACAGGGGGAAAAGGGTAAACAAAAGAAAAATGAGAGATTTTGTTAGGAAGTTTCTGTTATTTTGAGAAATTCACTGTATGTCTGGAAACATGTTTTGAAGGTGGGAAACCTGCACAGATGTTGGAGGGGGGTGAATAATTTGCTTCTCTTGCTGCAGTCTACTATGAAAGACGCTCGTCATAACATTATATAGGGCTCATTTTCATAATAAACTAGACAACCTGTGTTTGAGATGTTTTATATGTTATGCATCTGAGAGCTCAGCTGTAATTACTGTGGTTAGCTTCATTATGCTATCTTCTTTGTGTTATGTTTCTTTATTAAGTGCGTACTTCGAATTTAAGATTAAGGAATGGGACTAGACCTGCCTACCATGGTCTTATCGGATTCCGTCCAAAGCAGTGATATTGTCAAAGCCATGGTGACGAGGGGAATGGTAAAAGATGAGAATATTCTATTGAACAAAATAATAGAGAGAAGTATTATTTTATACCAGTTTTTGATATATTGTGTCTACTACAAATGAGGCAGCTGCAATGTTATTAAAGGAAATTCCTTTTTAAAATGCACTGCCTGTGGGGCAAGGTGATAATAGTTAACTTCTGAATGCAATAAAGATGTAAGTAAATTGGTTGTTTTGTAGGTTAGTTATATTTTGATATAATTATATTTTTAAAACTGAAAGCCAGCATGTAAGTTGTAAATAGCATCTATGGGGGATTAAAGTATTTTCCTTTCCCTCCTGGTTAACTTTCCAAAATATAAATGTCTGATTTCATGGTATGTGACTTAAGTTACATGCCATTTTGTAACTATCAGTTATGTGGTAGAAGCAATGAAAATTTAATGTGTTACTTGTACACTGTGCAGTTCACACTAGCATACAGATAATACACAAACCCCAGAATTAAAGTCTGGCTGGCAGTCCTAATGTACAAGGCTTTAACTCCTATTCCATACCATAAAGGTTAATGATGTAACCTTAATAAGTAAGTGATTAATAATTAATTTCATGTGAATTGTAACATTCACTGCATTTCAATAAATATTGTTTCATTCAGTATACAGAACTCAACTGTTCAACATTATTTTCTAATAACCAGAACATATTTGTTTTCATCAAGTTTATTGTGGTCAGTCTGAGGATTTATTAACACCTGCCTCCAGTTTACCACATTGTGATATTCTTGTATGGTAAGTTCACTCAGTTGGATCTCAGTGCCTTCAAACATTACAGTTAGCAAAATACAGTTAAAATGATTTGCTGTATTGTGTTCAAATTGATCCCCTTCTCCTATCTTTACTTCCCATCTCTTATACTGCCTTCTTCCCCTCTCAACCATTCTTTTTTTCAGCTCTTGTTATCTCTTCCCTTTTCAACTCACCTCTCGTCTCCTGTTGTCAACACCTCTTTTCTTTTAACTCGCCCTCCCTCTTCCGCACTTATAATTCCTACTCCTCTATTCTCTCTCCTCAACTGACATGTCCCCTCTACCCTTCTAACTTAACCTAACCTATTCCAACCTAATGCGACCTAACTTAACCCACCCAAACCTTGTCCAACGTCTCTTTTGCTCTCTGCACTGCTTTTCTCTCATCTCCCTTCGTTTATCATACAGCCCACAAGACGGATAACTTTAAATTCCAAATTTTATGAACTTACATGTGTGGGCAGTAAAGTAAAAGTAAATCGTCTACACTCGTGCGCTTTCAATTCAACTTACGCTTCAACATTCAATTCAACTTTCGTTTAGGGCATGCCTTTGTTGAATGTGTCAAAGGCATGCCCCTAGCTGTCCACACTATGCTGTCATTTGTCAGGCAATTCTTCTGAACAGGAGAGAGGAACATGGCAGACGCAACCTTACTTATGGGCATAAGTTCAGCATATTTAGTTATCGCAGGTGAAAGAAAAAGAAAAGAGCAACGG